TGTTGAGAATCTTACACTTCGTACGAGGATCAAAGCTGTGCCACTGCTGATCGAAATCCTTGCGTTACCATCGGAGCTGCGCAGAAATCCAGGAGGAATACGTCACTAAATTTCGTCGTTACGACAATAGCATGATGTATGAATATAGTTTGGCATTCTACTTCAGTCTTGTCTAAGAGACACAGCTAGCCATAGTTTCAATAGAATAGTTTGGTGTATCCTTTATTTGGCACAGCTACGTGGATACGCTAAAGCTGTTAAACTTCAATTGAATAGGTGATATCTATATTATTAAAGATGTCCGCGTTCCAATAATGTCTGATATTAATAATTTTATTATCGAATATCTCAAATACAAAGACACAGAAACATTATTAAAACTCATTGGGTTAAATTGGTTTACTCATTATTATCTTTGTTAGTAGTTACTGCATGGGTCAAGTTTAATGCTGTTGGTCAATTGCACCGCCACCTCTGAATATTTTTGCTAACGAACCGTATTAGTATTAGCCAATTTGTGTATTTTGTCGATAATGTAGAACTTTATTGTCTAACTACTAAAGCTAGTTTTAATATATATGCAGAGCATATAGAGGTACAATGAAGAGCTTGCCTGGTATATTAAAAGATGTATATATAGGAATAAAGCTAAGATATATTAATATACAGATATATAAATGTTAGCTTTGTTATTTATAAACTGTTATACACGTATTATGTTTATGGTGAGACAATTCAGATGATAGGAGATAGGGGGGCATTGAGTAAGAGATTTGTAAAAGTGTAAGAGGCCAAAATGTGGCGGATTGAATGAGACAAGCAATGTGTTTAAGTTTGTTAGGAGGGTAATGAAAAAAGAAGAATAAGGCGAGACAAGGAATGATAGATTCCAGATTTTGGAAGAAAAGGTACAGGGATGAAAGAGGTGTTAGGAATTGACAAAAATGGGAGTGAGGGGAGATGTTAGAAACTGACAATGCCAATTAGAAGGGAGTACATAAAAGATCTTGGATTTTCGGGGGGCAATGTGAATGATGGGTTTCAGTCCAAGTCAATGAGAAGGAGAAAAGGAGATGAAGGAAGAGTTAAGAGGATTGAGCAAGAGATGGAGAGGAGAGAATGGTAGAAGGAGACGTTTTCAATTATGGAAGAGACATTTAGAAAGAGGTGGTTACACATAATACTAATTGAACCAATGATCAAGCTTAACATGTCGGTTCCGAATGTAACATATTACTATTAATATGTCAATTCCGAACGGACACAAATTCCCGATCTGAGATCTGACATACCAACAATCTGGAAATAACCTTTTGCTTTATGAGAAGATAAACATGGAATATAAGCAAGGATATAAAACTTTTATTATCTGTCAAAGGAAAGTAGTTTCCAAAAAAAGTTATAGACAACTTGAACAAATATTTTCTATAGGTATTCATCGCTTCTAACATACGTAAATTTGTTTATTACTCGTAAACTAATTTGTATAATAGACTACTGCATCTAATAATATTACTGCTACAAAGCTGCACCGCATAAAATGGTGGTATATAACTGAAATTACAGAAATAACGTATTTGTGATTATCCTACATATCATCACTTTATCGTATAGCTCTGTAAAAATAATAAGAATAATTAATCGTTATTGCGCCAGGCAGTAAACATAATAAAAGTCTATTGTTTGGTAAATTTATATTATCTCTATTTAGACTATTAAATAATATTAAGTGTCCGTCAAATAACCAATGCGCGAGCCTTCGCTATAACATTAACAACCGTCATTCCTGCACTGCATAAAGAGCTAAAAGACGAGTGTAATTCCAGCGTTTTTGCCAATTCTGCTTCTTTTGCACTTATTATTTGAATAAGTGCATCATACAGACACGGTTTCGACTTTAAAAATTCTATCAGCGTTACTAATCCTGTATTCGTAATCTGATCCAGCCGACGATACAGTGAAGGGTAACTCGATATAAGAATATTTTCGAATGCGGATAGTTCTGTATTGCCAATACGATCCAAATACCACTGATAGTAACCGAGCTGAAGAGTATTCACAAAAACCATCATTTGCGTGTCTTTAAACAGCTCATGGAAAAAGTCCAATTGATAAACCGGTGTATCGCCCAGTGGATTCTGAAGTTCCTTCTGCAACAACGATTCTAATTGCTCGTGTACCTGTTTCACGGTTGGCCGTCGGTCGGGGTTTTCGCTCCAACATTCCGAATATAGCTTGATGTATGCTATAGATGTTCCAGGAACGGGAAGATCACGATATCCGTGTATCCTTCGGTAAACAACATCACAAGTGCGAGTACATTCTTCGCAAGGTTTCTTTTGACTAGAGATTTCCCATAACACTACCCCAAGGCTAAATATATCGGCCTCTTTCCCGCATTTGTACGTTGGAAATTTGAACGATTGCGGATCTTTGTACGGAGCAGCGCCATTTCCTCTTGATGAGGACATAATTTGCCCGGATAGACCAAAATCGGCAATTTTTACAACGCCATCTTTAATGAGAATATTAGAGGATGACTACATAAAGATAATAAAACATGGTAATGGTGAGCTTTTAATCGTCAAATATTCTGGTAATCAATGAAGAAAGTAAACCATACCAAATCTCTGTGAATAATATCATGGTCATGCATATGTTGCAGACCGCTGCTAATTGCCAAGGCCAGCTCGTACATATTCCGCCTGGTTAGCTTACCAGAACGTTCTTGTAAGTACTTATGTAGGGTTCCGCCGTCAGCAAATGCGAAAATCATACAAAAGTCTCTGTCTTCGTCTTCATCTTTTATGTAGAAATAAATTTACGTTTAGTATAATAATTTTAAATGAACGATAGACTTATTGTAACGATAATAAATACTTACATAAACCCAAAAACTCAAGAATATTTGGATGGCCATTCAATTTTAGATGGGTCTTCATCTATGTGTTGATAATAAACGTTGGATATCCGTATATGAAATATACGCAAGAAATATGATTAAAAAATAAAAGCTACCTCTTTGGCAAGCATTTTGTCTAGTGTTTTCTTACAGTTATACGGAAAGCTATACAGCTTTTTTATAGCAATAGGCTCTTCAGTGGTCCTTATTATTCCCTTGAATATTACTCCGCATCCGCCAAAAGCTATAGCCGTACGACTCTCATCAATGTCACTTTCCAAATAACAGTTGAAAACACCGTCTTGAATACTGGTTTCTATCCGTTGCTGGTATTCATTATCGTATTCATCTAAACATTGCTCGTGGGAAGCCATTGATGTGGAAATTTGATCGTGATATTCTGAATTCTTAACCACAAGTCAACCGTGCTGATTGTTATAAAGTTCTAAATGTAAAGTTGAATAAGTTCTAACAGAATAGTAATGGTAGGTTTAGGAACTTTGGATACGATTGCTTGTATTTATACTTTTTATTGTAACACCTGGAACTCCTGTCTTGTTTACTATTTTGAGCGAATCTAATAATCATCTTACATAATCGAATAATTTTGCTCCGGCGCTTAACAACATAATACGGAATGGCCATTCGTCAATTATAACTAACGCAGACGAACTAATTTGGACTAGCGTATAAATTATTGACTATAACTACTAAGGTGATGTTTGTTTTATTTGCTTATGGAACAGAGCATTAAATATGGATGTTTTTTAGCAATTTGTACATTGCCATTATTTGTTCTAATCACGTTGGGTAGTATAGTTAATTTAATTATACTGATTTTTATACCAAATCCCTGAACCGAAGCTCTTTGTGTAAACGTTGCTCAGCAACTTTGTGTTAATCATGCTGTATTACAAAAGGCGCTGTAAATGACTGGTCAGACGATCAATTAACCCGCTTTGTTTTTGACGATAATAAAATCTTAAAAAATGAATTGGCATGCCACCTCGATTCGATGTGGGACCAGTAACTAATTTCTATACCCAGATAATAATGGTTTAGTATTGGATATGAATTGATGACAGTGCCTAAGATTTGACTGGCGATGATCTCCAAATCGGTTCATCAAGATATCCCCAACCAGAGTATTACCGTAGCACCAAAATTTGCAATACTAATAGACTTCGGAATAGATCTCCGGAACCTTTATGGATCTCGCGCATATAATAGATAGTATAATAAAGCTAGTTACCATGCTTAAGTGGTATATATTAAATGAACCAGCATTACAAACCATTCTTCAGGCTAATTGTCTCACATACCCATTACAACATTGATATCTTTGACTATATACGGTAGTCATCATGTCATAAAGTATACTTACCATTTGTCGTAGCTATGGTGTCACAGCTTTATTTTCCTTGTTCGAAAGGGGGTATTTTATTTATTCTTGGTTAGAAACAGTGACCGATACATCACCTCCCCCATAAGAAAGTTATAACGAATAATGTGTGTTATTAATATGCAGTTAATTAAACTTCTTTTTTTCATGCATGCTGAATTTGACTTGGCAATATATTCTGCCATCGATTAACAACACAGCATATACAATTAAACTAGTTGTACGTTTCTAACAATATAATTGTTATGTTATTAAGTAGTATTTGTATATAACAAGCTTTCTATGTAAGAGATTTGTAATTTCAATACCAATTAATGTTGTTCAATTTATCGCAGAAGGTTTTAAAGAATGGGTTAAGCGTAGTTGTATTGGTATAGTTGGCCAGATAATTTCACCATACGTTTAGCTTTTTGATTCTGAGAAACGTTCTCTTCAAGTTGCTAGAATTTTTCAGCTCATGTCAAATGGCGGCGTTTTTTGTTAAATTATCATACTTTTGCTTAGATCCGTTCGCTACTAGCAATGAATCGCAACTGAAATAATTTCTACGTTAATACAGTTTTTCTGACTATTGGTTCAGGCATTAGACAAAGTCAAACAAAAATATTGCAGGCTCGGCAAAGGCAATATTGTTTTGAGTACAAGTTTCCTTCCGTTGCATAGTTTTCCTACCCGGTCAAAAAGTAGTTATCTATTATGTTTGCCATTAAAGATTTGTGTATAGTTCTAACATTTCGATTGGATCAGAGCATTCACAGTTTAATATACCAATTTGCAATACTGGCCTATGCACGCACTGAATCGAGAAAATTTTATACTCTTTGCACTATTTCGATGCGCGTCTATTATCCCGACCTAATAGTTACTAAACTGAAAACGCTATGAAAATATGGTGAGCTGCTCTAGAGTTATAAGGACAGAATGCAGACTCGTATTACAGCAAAGTATTCTTTAAGCATTGCATCAGTCTGTCAAACGTTGACTAGTGTTTGTGGCTGACAATGTCAGTTTTTTGGTTTACATGTGCGCTATATTTCTCCTCCGATTTATTTGTTCACAATATGCAGTTGCTATTAAATTTTGTAACACAACTGCGCTCTATCATGTACCCAGGCCATGGAAACACAAAACTACTTTTCGTCATGCGGCTATGATTAATAATACCTTGGTCGAGTTAGATTTAAACTTTGGAATCAATAATTATTTACAGATCAATTTAAGTATCTTGGCGGAGTATTTACTATTCCGCATTTGTGAGTCCATGTTAATGTGTACTACAATTACGAAATCTGTATATTTCGTTTAGATAGAAAGTTTGATAAGTATTGTTTGTTACAAATCATAGCGATTAACAAATTGGAAATAACTAATGCGAGATAATAAATGTTAATTAAATAAGCTAAGCGGTTTTAACAATTATTTAGCGACTTGCTTCTAGTGTTCGGTTACAATAACGTTTTGCTCACATTACTATAATTCTAACAGAAATATTGCTGGTTTTATTTAATATCTTATTTACTCGCACATTATGGACGTCATATGTTGTTAAAGTTACTTTAATTAAACATGCTAAAACCTTCTGCTCTTCTTTAAAGAGTCCAATTTTGAAAAAGTTAGAATGTTTGGGCATACCAAAAATCTGACAATTGAAGGCTTTTGTTTAAATTTTTATACGCCGTACTCGATAATAAATGTTGTCATTGCAAGAGTGAATAGATAATAAAGTTTAGAACAAATAACCATTGGTTCTAACTAATTATTAAAAATTTCAAGCGATCATTGATATATTAAGCGGTTCGTAGTTTGCATGACGTTAAAGCGTTCTTAAACAAGCGATCATTTCTTGTACATAAAAGCATCTATATCACGTAACACATATATGCATTGAAGAAGATTAATAGTAATAAAATAAAGAGCTGACTGTTGTGTAATAAATTACATAATAATTAGGTTTAAAATTAAGCCTGCCTATAATATCGTAACAATTTTCATACAACGATAAACCTATAAATAACATCAAGTTTGATTAAAGTCGAAAAAGTTAGAAATATAGTAGTTGCAATTATCTCACGTGTAAACAATTTTAACAGAAACCTCGCATCAATGGCTTCCCAGACAAATACAAATGAGCAGTTGTCAGATCGACAATTCAATGAACACCAGAGGTGGATAGAAAACCGTATCCAAGAAGGTGTTTTCGAGTGTTACTCACAAAGCGACATTGGTAACCGTATGGTTGTAGATGCTGGTGGATGTGGTATAATATACAAGGCAATATTGAAGATCTCTGGAGAGCGTGTTGCTATAAAAAAACTGTATAGCTTTCCGTACAGCTGTGAGAAAACACTAGACAAAATGCTTGTCAAAGAGGTTGGATGATGTTGACTTTTGCTATCGCATATAAATTTTATTATATTTATATATGACCAACTATTTTTACGATAATTATAGGTGAAAAACTACCTAAGGTTAAAAAGCCATCAAAACATTATTGAATTTTTGGGGTTATGTAAGTTATCTGTATTAGTATAATAGATGTAATTTTGTTTGTTCTGTAGATAACATATGTATCTCTAAATATAAAGACAGAGACGAAAACAAAAACTATTGTATAGTTTTAGCATACGCTGATGGCGGGCCCTTGCATAGGCACTTGAAGAAACATTCTAATCGGCTAACCTGGTATGACAAATACGAGCTGGCCTTGTCAATAACCAGGGGTTTAAAATATATCCATGATCATAATATCGTCCACAAGGATTTGGTAATGTATTGCTTACCATACGTTTGTAATTATATGCAAATAATCACTAATTTTTTATCCACATACAGACATCTTCAAATATTCTTATCAAAGATAACATTGTAAAAATCGCCGACTTTGGTCTATCCGGACAAATTATGTCTTCATCAATAGGAGGAGGCGCCGCAGCATACAGAGATCCACAATCCTTTAAAAGCCAAGCATACAGATGTGGAAAAAAATCCGATATATTTAGCCTTGGAGTAGTGTTGTGGGAAATCTCTAGTCAAAAAACACCTTGCAAAGATTGTACCTATAGCTATCAAATCGTTAACCAAAGGCAAAACGGATACCGTGATCCTCCAGTCCCCGGAACACCTAAAGCGTATATCAAGCTATATTCAGAATGTTGGAGTGAAAACCCTGACCGACGTCCAACAGCGAAACAAGTGTATGAACGACTGGAAACATTGCTAAACCATGTAGACGATACACATTTAAGTTTCTTTTATAAGCTTTTTGAAAACGCGCGTCTAAAGGCCTTTGTAAATACTCTTAAATCAAGGCACTACCAGTCGTATTTAATATTAGATCGGATTGCGACGGTATTTGAAAAAATTCTCAAACCAAATTACTATTCGGTATATCATCGATTAGACCGAATTAAGAATACAGGATCTGTAACATTGACAGAATTTCTGGAATCAAAACCGTACCTCTGCCTTTTGTATAATATTCTGAAAAGTACTCTAAAATCCGATGATCCCATCAACTCGCTGTATGATGCACTTGGTGAAATAAGAAATGAAGGCGCAAAAGAATTGGTAAAGATTGTAGAATCAAATTCGTCTTTGCGTTGTTTATACAGTGTAGGAATGACGGTCGTTGAGCTTGTAGCGAAGGCTCGAGCATTGGTTTCTTTTTAATTATTTAATATTACATAGATGAGCTATATAAATAGAATAAATTTGTCTGCGCATTTACCAATATTAGACTCATTGCGCATTCAATAGCAGTTAGTTTAGTTGTTTTATTTTTATTTTTATTTTGTATAGATTTCTAATATTCTCGAAATTCTAGAGTCTGGATGTGAGGGTTTTAGTATCTAAAAGAAGATGGATATTTATACAGATAATGTAACCAGACTACTTGTAAGTTATCATGACGCAAAAAAGATTACCGTTAGGAACATTATTTGTATACATAAATATTGTATGCCAACGTCAGGT